CTCTTTCTCTGTAGAGTGAAGATTTGGGGTTGTTTGAAAATGATCCACCTGGATCCTTAAAAAGTTCTGAAGTGGGCTATTTTTGCCCACTTAAGATAAAAGTTGATAACTGACTGTTGGCACCATTTTAACCTAATGTTAACATTGTGAACAAATAAAATTTTCAGGCTGAACGCTTTGTTTTTTCATGTTAAAAAAAAAAAAGAGGTGGTGGTGCAACAGAGTGGCCAGAATGATCCCGGTACCCCTTCAGGCGTCACTTCCATCACTGACACAAAGAAACTGTGCTGGAACCTTGCCAGAACCTGGGCAAGTAAATCTGCAAGTAAAGTCTTGATTGCCTCTAATTCAGTGCTGGGACTCCTTGGATAGAGCTGCGTTGCAAAACGGCGCAAGCTGTGCAGTAGCCATTTTAGGCATCCGTAACGATGATACTCAAATGCTGAGAGGCTCTTACCTGGTGGTTTTTATACTGCTTTGTCTTGCCTTGAGAAGACCTTACTTATATATAACCATGTGCTGTCTAAGTAGCTGTAACAGACTAATGAATGGGATACTGAAAAAACATGCCAGTAGAAAGAGAACAATCTTTCGGGAGCGAAGGCATGTAATGTGCTACCTGTGGCATCGGAGAATGAGAAACAGGATTGGAGCCAATGCCTGTTTGCATCCACCAGCTTTTACATCCATCAGGATATCAGTGTTCTTCACTGAGTCGTGAAAATTACTTCTAGAAGTGTAAAAACAAGATCTTGAAATCTGCTTTTGCTTAGCTGTCCATCATGTAAAAGGAAATTGAAAGGATGAGATCCCAGATGAAATGTGGCTTTTAAATTGCATACATGACATGAAAACCTAATCTTGTTTCAGACAGTGGCAGGATCAGATGGGTAAAATGGATGCCTTGATCTCTCAGACTAAAAAGCAGAAAGGGTTTTTTTCCTTGCTTTCCTCTGTGCAGAGCAACTGAGAGGAGGCAAATCTGTGTGGCTATGACATGGACACGTTTGTTAGGGGAGGGCACAAATACGTAGATAAGCATGCCTAGCCATATGGGTGCATGCGATCTTATGCATCTGCCCATATCACTCGCACATGGACAGCCTTCCTGGCTAATAAGAATTTGAGATTATTTTTTAATAAGCAACTTGGGGTACTTGCTTTTATTGTTGCAGGGTATGTAATGTGAATCTACTGGAAGCCTCTGTCTTACCAATTGATTTTTCTTTTTTGCCTATGGGATGGTTTCTCATCTTCAGATGCAATTTGTAATTATGAAATAATATCAGCTTTACTCTTTTTTTTCTTTTTTTCTTTTCCTGAAAATAGATTCTCTTTGAAATAGATTGTAGGTGAGGTATGGAGTTTGTTCTTAAGCAGTCTGATCATCCCCATGAGCCTATACCTTTCCATTGCTTTTGGCAGATACAAATGGCCTCATAGCATTTCCACAACTGTGAATATTTTTGATGGTTGCTTATATCTGTTACCCTTTTAGTAAGTTCTGGCGGGTAGTGTTAGCATATGTCTTGGCTTTAATGCATAAGTGAGAAATATGTACTTGATTTTAAGTTCAAGTCATTAAATAAAATACTTGGATAGAACATTTGGTCTGTAAACCGGGAAAGAATTGGTTTGTTTTGTGTTTTTTTTTAAATCTATTTGAATGTATTGTTACGTTTCTCTCAAGTTCTGGGGATATGTCCATTTGAACAAGTTCAGCCAAGTATTTCCTGCATTGCAAGTGGTCTGCTCTGGGACTTGGAGTGGGGAAGAAGAGAGATGAGCTCATGAACTGCCAGTCTCGGGTTTTAGAGCCCTTCCTGGGGCTGCTGGAGAAGGGACTTGAAACAGTAACGTAAGCTGGGCAGAAGTCTGGCTGTTTTGGTGGGTCTTGTGTGGATGTGTTCAGGCATCTCTTCCCTTTAAAACAACCTAGCTCTTGTTCCAATGGGGAACAAAGAGAGAAATAAAAGCTTTGAGGTTTGTTTTGTGGGTTTTGGTTTTTTGTGATAAGCTTGGCTGGCAGATCAATCTGTAAGACTACCGATCTAGCAAAAATGTGCTCTCTGCTCTGAAAAGGTTGTGGTCTGTAAAATGCTTTATTTCTTGCATTTTGAGAATTTAAATTGTAAAATAGTTGTATGTTATTATATGTTGTTTGTTTTCTTCCAGTGAAGCCAAAAGGTTGGAATTAGAAAGAAAACTGATGGAGTACAGAAAGTCTGATGCATACCTGTAAGCCTACTTAAAAGCTTCTTATAGGTTATTTTATTTTAGCTACAAAGACTTGGGTATCATGGAATGCTTTTAGAATGTTGAAGGGTTTTTTTGTATAACAATAACATAAATACAAATTTAAGAATAATGTAAGATTCATGTCTGTTATTGATGGAATAACTTAAGCAATAAGTACTTTATTAATACTGGAATTTTATTATAGCAGTTAGTAATAGTAGTAGTTATTACTAACTAACATGCAAGTTGGTTTTATGCAACTTTTACAAAAATCACTGTAGCATAGTTTGTGCTGGAAAGTCCTAGCATCTTACCAAGTCTGAAAGTTTTAGGAAGTCCTAGAGAATATTCTAGATTCTGGTCCTGCTCCTTGGATTGTTTCTGCATTACCTATTTAATGTAAATTGCATGTGCAGCTTGTAGAAAAAAACCCAAACAAACCTAAACATTAAATTAAAAAAAAAAAAAACCAAACAACAAAAGAGGGCTGAAAAGGGTCTCATCCAGTGTTCCTTTCCTCAGATGTGTTTTGTAAAGCTCATGGAGGACACTTTTCTATCTTGGCTCAAGGGACTGAGGGCTAGGTGCAATAATGGACAATCCCTTAGGAACTCCTCTTCTGAACGAGGGCCTTTAGATTAGAAAATTAAGATGTAAATTAAAGGAAAAAAATGCCTGAACAGGTGGGGAAACATCACATGTGCTTTGTTAAATGTCTTTATTTGATCTATTTTAATCTAACAGGTTTTGAACTGAAGTTTCTCTGAAAATATTGGCAGCTTGGGGGATTTAGGTTGCAGTTTCACAACTGATTTAAGTAGACCTCTAGGCAGATTGAGACCAAAAGATGCTCCTGACTGCCCCGGTTCCCATTTTGCCTTTGTTGGCACTAATGCTTGGGTGGCTGCCCTGTAATCAGATAAGGCAATAGGTCTGGCTGAAAGTGAACCTGGTTTTGGGTGTGTGAACTCATTTAGAAGGATTTTCAGCTGGATTGCTCTTGGCCTAATTTGCTGTGTGGCCACATAGCAGATAGTATTGGCATGAAAAAGGAAGGCTTGGAGTGAGATGCCCATTTTGGTAGCAGCATGGGTTTAGGTTGGCTTAAAGCAGTTGTGAAACTACAGCCTTAATATCACAATTTGAACAGACTTGCAGAGCATGTTCTCCTAATTACAATTTTCATTTTGATTTAATGTCGTACAGGTATCTAAAACATCCATTTAAAACAAATTTACAAGACTCTTTTAATAGACTTATTCTTTTGAACACCAACCTCCCCACCCTGTTTAAATCTGAAGTTGCATGACAGACATCTGTCAGTTTTATAAGGTAGCTTTGGAGAGTTGTGCAGAAGAATGTGTCTGCTCCTTTTGGGAGGGACGGGGGGCAACTCCTGCATAAGTGTTAGTTTGTAAATGTCTGAAGAAAAGTGATTGTAATAGATGTTTGTTTTAATTTCATACTCTTTAAGTAGAGTTTCATTTTCCCCCTATAGAATGAAACTAAAATACATGAAGCTGAAAAAATACTTGAAAGAAATAGATGAACGACAAAAAGGAGCTCTTCTGCGAAACCAGACCTGTTTAAAGGAATTCAACCAATTTGAAGCTCATATGAAAACTTCAAGTTCAGAGATGATTGAGAAGATGGAAGTAACTTTATATAAGATTTAATACATTAGTGTTTACTGTTATTAAAGGGTTGCTAAATTGGCTTTGAGTATTATGCGCATTAAGACTTCAGATGTTAGTGAAACCTCAGCATATGTTTTGGAGTGCTTAAAGTTGGTAATGTTTGGCAATTTGAAATGAACCCAAACTCTGATAATATATGTTGTAATAGATCCTAGTGTAGCTGCAGTGTTAGTCAGCAACACTTCACAGGACTGAACACTGGGTCTACAGTAAAGTGCCCTGTGCTTGTGAGCCTCTTGGAAGCGAGGGAGAGCCAAGATCAAAAAAATGTGGTAATGCAGTATGTGTTTGGAGAGTTAGTGATAAGATAATAAACCAGCAATATCTAGGTTAGGACAAAAAGACGACTTGAGTTGTAATGCTTTCATACAGACTTTTCTATAAAACTGTATTTCAGTAAGGCTTTTATTACTTAAAAGTACCCACATATATTTCATGGAAGCTGCTTTGGGACACTTTTAATTTTGCTGGTGTGAACACCCTAAATAGCCGTAGTTAGTCTCGCTCCTGCTTATTGCTGTTTCCTCTTTAGCAGAGCAAGTGTAAGAGTAAATAACTTCCGTTGGTTCAAGCACAATAATTTGCTCTATCTGGACCAGAGCTGAGCTAAAATGAAGTCACACTTAGTTCTGTTACTAAACAGTCAACTAGCAATACTTGAACAGTGATAAGAGGGGAAAAAACCTACTCCCTCCAGTATCCCGTTGCATCACTCACATACTTGCTTTTGGTAATGTTTTTGCATGGACTCGGAGATTTGATTCATGTGCCTTCAGAGTTGGAAATTCTGAACTTTCCTCCTGGACTGGTTAAGTAAAGCCCAAAGAGTGTTTCATCACCTGGTATACTTGAATTGTGCATCGTAACTGGCAATGGCAGGAGTATGGTAGTACCAAATGACTGCTTTAAAAGAGCCAATACCCAACAGAATATACTTCTTGCTGTCTTTGTAGCACCTTTGTTATCAAAAGACAACTGCAAATGTGCTGCTCGTCCTCTCTCCACTCATTGCCTTGACTGCTGCCAGCTCAAAGGTCTACATTTGCAAAAGGGGTCTTATTACTGACTTCATTGAATGTCATCAGTTTGAGAACCTCATGCTGGGGTGAATTATCCATATGAAAGAGGCTGTTAAACTGAACAGGCATGTATTAGTTCTTAAATGACTAATTTTTTTAAAATCACCGCAACAGGTAGAAAACATGCATGGTCATTACATTTTAAAAGAAAGAATAAAAGCTGTTATGAGGACGAACAAAAATGAACAGCCAAGCTTTGAGGATTTTTGAATCCTATTAATAATCTCTTGTCTTGCTATTCACTGAAGAACAATTTGAGGTGTTGCAAAGCGATATAGTTTGGTAATCAGATCAGATTTGGATCTCAAATTTTTAAAAAATACAATCATGACGACGCACACATGCTACTAGTATATGGAGTCATATTTTTGAGGAGGTAAAAACTGGGAGAGAAGTGTGTTTATATCTGCTTTCTAAGAGCAGTAGCATTCTTCAGAAATAGTTGATAGGGACTATTCTGTCCCTCTGCCACTCTTTAAGCCTCTATGATGCGGTACTGACACAATGCTTATACTTGCGTAGCTGTCGAACTCAGTTGTGCTTAGCTTTTATTTCTCTGAAATGCAGTTTTAATTCAGGAACAGTGTTCTTGGAGTGTACTGTTTTCCTCCCTCTCTCTTCCGTTCAGGGGCACACACAGCTTTATCTGAGACAGTAAAAATTTAAACTGTGATCCTCTTAAAAGGAGGTGTCTAAAAAGCCTGGATCCAGCAAATGTGAAAGTGCAGCAGCACCCTTGGACGACAGTGGTATAGGACTGAAAGAAAAGTGTGGGGTGGCTCAGGTCCTCAGGTGCAGCAAGTATGTGAAACGAAATACATAAGCACTTCTGAAAAAAACTGAGGGGAGGAAGGAATCGGACTGCAACATAAAAACGGGGAGCAGAAGGGGAAAAAGTATGAAATTATATAGAAGTGTGAAAACAAATGAGCAAACCTTACTTTAAAATATTGATTTAAGCTTTTTTCTTAATATGCTCTGGAAACACTGCACTAGGAAGTGTTATTAGAGCTTAGCCTGAAGTAGGGATGTAGAAGCAGCAATGTACTTTGTATTTTTTTTTTTGCCTACTGTCTGGTTTGGCTTTCATTAGCTGCAGCACAGTAAAGGGCAAGAAACCCTTTGTATGCAGTTCTTACAAAAGTTCTTTTCTTTCAGTAGGTGTATGTATGACCTGAAGTGTGAGCCTTTGTGCTTTCTAAAAATCTTCCATTAACTGTGGATGTTAATTTAGTGTCTAGTCCTTTTTGAATCCTCGTAAGCTTTTTGTCAAATCAGTATAATGTGACAAGCAGCCCTATACAGTAATTTTGTACTGTGGCTTAAAAAAAACAAAACCAAACAAACAAAAAGACCCCACCAAACTTTATTGTCTTTGATTTCATTGAAAATCTCCTTGCTTTTTTTTCTTAACAACAACAACTAGCTGGCTCCAGACAACTCTCCCCATGGTTAGCTGTAACTTGCAATGTATTAACACCTTGCCTTCTGTTGTTTGTATTAAATAGCCCCAATCTCTGCTTTTCTTCGCTCCTATGGAAGATTTTTGTGTATGGTGTCTGAGACGGGGTGATGAGACCCGTTCCTGTTGATGAACGCTCCCTCTGAAATGCCATTAGGTTTGCATGTACTGTTTGGGAAGTGCTGTCTGTGAGCGTACGGAGCAGGTGATCTGGGGGGTGTGAGCTGATCTCCTGGCTTTTGGAATTAAGGAAGCTGTCTGGAAAAGATGTAGCTGTCTCTTGTGGTGGCAACTGATTTCCATGCTAATAAACCAATGGGCTGGCTAACATCCCATGGTTGCGTACCCACATTAATAAATTCCTTTCACAACTATAGCCCAGCCAGTGCTTGCTAATTCTTTTAACCCTGTTGGGTCTGGTGCCGTTCACAGACCATCTTTTCCTTGCTTCAGCTTAGTAACATGTAGTCTAGAGACTGTCCTGGGTGGGAGGTGGCTGTGTGTGATTTCCTCCCCCTTTTTTCTTTTGTTTTTATTTAAAGCAAGGCACGACCAGGGTGTATGTTGTGATGCTAGGTTTCCCCTGTTGTGTTTAAGGATATTTTTTTTTTTCCTAGCAACCCTAATGCACACCAGTTTGACTAGCACTAGGGCTGTTACCCTGGTGTGAGTCACAGTTGTGCCATGGGTTCATCTGCATGCGGGGTTTTTGTTCATTGCTTCCATTTTGACGTTTCTGTGCCATCCATTTTATTTTTGCCAGGTCAGACTTATTTTTCTGAGCTGTTGAATAAAGCACAGATTACATATCCTCTCTTACAGTTATGAAAAGCCCCCTTGTTGTGGATTGCATAAGAATTATGGAGCATGTAATCATTTACTCTATCACGGAAGTACAGAGAATGAAAAGAGAGAAAATAGTAATAATTTCTGAGAGAGAGAATACCCTTTAGGAGTCCTTTATCGTAACTATTTGCACAGTTTATTATGTGGCTGTAGCTGACAACTTCTTTTGTTTCTGAAATACTTTTTTTCCCGTGTCTGTAATTTGTTCAGTAATTTTTGGGAGTAGAAGTAAATTCACTTAAGCTTTCAAGAAAATCCAGTAGTTATGCTTATTTTAAGCATCTTTAACTCTCATGTGGTCAGTCTTTTGTTTCTTAAAATTTCATGTTTACAATTTTATGAACAACTTCTATTACCTAGGAAATAGCAGACTTGCTGAATGCACCACTGGAGTGAAGTGCAGAGCTGGTTAATTGTTTTAAAGATTTATTTTCATGCATATTACCTGATGCAGAATAGGTATTGAAGTGCTTTCATTCAGGGCTGATGTAACTTGTTATTGGGGTTTACAATTACTAACAAACAGGATTAATTATAGGTGCTGCATGTGCTTGGCTTTTAAGCAGTGGTCCTACTATGAATGCATTACATTTGGTCAATTAAACAATGTAGTGGAGGTGAAGATGGTTTATGCAGTTGTTTGTTAGTAACACTACAGCAAGTTGCCTTTCATGCTGGGTTGCTATTTATAACATCTGCCATATATTTTTTCCTTATAATGGCTCAATGAGTTGTAAGATAATGTATGTAAAACAACTAATTTCATCCCAAAGCAGCGGAATCATTGTCTGGATATAGCAGAAATAATTTGGCATTACAAATACTAGTTGGGATTAAAGAGATTTGAGTCAACAAGTTATTACTATTTTGTAGGATTCTAAATTACGTGAATGAATAAATGTGTATTAAAAACCTGCAGAAGACTGCGTATAGGCCACGTCATTTGTTCAGGGGAGTGGAAAAATTAGGAGAAAGTGAGATCTCTGGCTTTTTAAACATAGTCCAAGTAAAAAATGCTGCTAGGACATTACATTTTAAAACGCACAATTTGTAAAGTAATACTTGTTGATTTGTGGTGGGGTGGGTTTTTTGGCCTTCCGTTTTATGTAATGGATTTCTTCACATTTAGGCATGGTATGGAAGACAAATTAAAAGTGTACTGTCACTTCAAGAGGGTAACTTGTCAGCAGAAGGTGACAAGGAAGAAGAATACAACGAGCAGGTAATGTGAAAGAAGAGGAGGGAATGTGTCTTATTACATTGATGTGCTTTCCTCTGAGCTGCTGTATGAAGAGGCAGGCACTGCTAAGCAGTCTTTGCATGGGGATTTCTGTTGTGGCATTTGTAGCGTGAAATACTGTTTAGTGCCTGAATGAAGTAGAATAACCTGGGTAAAATGTGCAACTATTTCAACCGAAGAACTAGAATTAAAAAGAGGGGAGAACTCTTAACTGTTTGTGTTCATCCTCGTGTTGGTTTTCATAATTCCTATGCCAAATAGTGTGAAAATGGTCTTGACCGAGGAGGAAATATTCTTAACGAATGATATTTTAAAAAATGCAGCAGTTTATTCGTACGGTATATTTATAATTTTGTGTGTTTTGACCTTTTCTCAGGTTTCTTAGATTGCATATCTAAGTAACAGACAAAAAGACTGACAAGGAATACTTAAATATATTCTGCTATATATCTGCAGTAATGCAGGCTTCTAATCCCTCCTCCTATCTCCATATAAATGATACAGTTCAAGACCATAGCTGTTTTCTTCACTAAAAGCAGTAAAGCTCTTTTAGATGAAATGTCTAAAAACATCTTGTAATAACTTGGAGCATGCTGGCAAGAGTAGTCACTTGTGACTATGTGTGAAACCCCCTCAGCTAGTCGATATTGTAATAAGCAAAAATGGTAGCATCACTCCATTATTCAGAAAAGCCAACAGCATGCTTGTCCCTTAGGCTACAGCATTCATTAAGAAAAGCTTACTGGGCTGAAAGCTGGAAACAGATGATAACGGGATATGATTTTCATATTTAATGCATTCCTTGGAAGAGTATGTGTGCTGCAGATTGATAGAAGAATCAACTGCTACTTTACTAAAAGACTTTCTAGTTTGCCCTATAGCTACCGATGGAATCATTCAGCCAAGAAATTAACTTTTTCTCCTTTTACCTGCTTTATATATCTGCTAAGCAGGCTGCCTGGCTGCCAGTAAATGTTATTATGCAGTTAAATGTTTGGTATTTAAGACTCTTATCAGAAAAGAAACAGAGGCCACACTATTTTGTTTTTATAGTAGGAGGAAGGTTTTTGGTTTTCTTTCTTCAGTGCATTAGCAGTCGTTAATCTGAGTTACAGGAAGTTTTCCCTGTAGATTAAAAAGTTAAAAACCTTGAATTTAGAGCATTCTTTAAACTGTAATATACAAAGCAATGAACCCGAGCAACCTTGACCTATATAAGCAGGCCTCCGGCAGCTTGTGAATTACATTTTTAATTCGGACGTATGTGAAAAGCGGAGTTTATTTTGGAATTCTAGATTCTTCAGTTAAAAGCAGTCGGTGTAGGAGGTGTGATTTCTAACCTATGGGAAAGTTTACATGAATACTGGAACATCAAAGGCTCATGGTGTGACTTAGATGTTTAAAAACAGTTAGCAGGTTTTGGACAGTACAAGAACTTGGTGTGTACCCAAATATGTCACTTTATGTTGAACTACAGTTAATAGTTTGATTGTGGACTCTTTCATTCCCTATCCCCTTCTTTCGCCTTTTCATCTCCCTCCTTAAATACAAAGCTAACTTCAACTAAATCATGCATCCTTTTGCCTTGTCTATGTGCTGTGTCTCAGATCTCACTCTGTAACTCCATCTTTTTTCAGACCGATCGTGCCTGTTTCCCACCACCTTCACCTCACTTAAAATCTGTTTATTCTTGTGTCCAAAGTATGAGAGTTTGACCTCAGCAATGTGGCACCGAGTCAGTCATAGCTAGCACATACAGTTAGCAGGTGGTTTATCCAGGATGTAAGTTGTCACAGCTTGGACCTGGTTTTATTTCACAGTCCTGGTATCGTAATGATTTTCTTCAGGCTAGTCAGGATGCCAGTGATTGTGTGATAACCTCATCAGTGATGTGTCTTGGAGACCAAGAAGGACAATCACGGAACCAATCTTCTAGAGTATCCCGATGCCCCTAAGACGTCAGCGTGACTATCTGGTACTTCTCTGAGCCATGGGATATGCACCCTTTGAGACTCTCAATTTTTATGGGAGTCCTTAAGCCTAGAAGTCATATACTCAAGCAGTGTTTGTCTAGAAAACCATGATTCTCCATGGAAAGGACTTGAGCGCCAGTCTTTTGAAGCCCGGTGGAAGGACAATCTGGTGTTACAAGCTGGAGGAGAGGTACTGTACTGAAGAGGTCCTCAGCTGGCAGAGCTGTATAACCTGGGCTTCTGAAACCTTTGTGCAATGAAGTTTGGCTTCTTCAACTTTGAAGCACTTTCTTGAAGTCTTTTGAAGATTTTGGACTTGTGCATCTTGGCACAGCTGTGTCTGTTGGATGTAGGGCCTAGGGCACCTCCCAGGAACCACCTATGGAAGAGCACCCTTCCCTGGGAAGCGAGGTGTCACCAGGTGAGAGTAATGCCTGGTGCCTGGAAGAGACAAGCCTCTGGCTTACCTTCACATCCCTAGCTTTCACTGTCTACTGTCGGGGAGACTGGGCCCTTTTGCAAGTCTTAATGGAAGGGATTTTTTTCTTATCTTTGTTTTCTTCAAAACACTTTAATGATAATAAAAAAAAAAATCGTATTTGTTACTGGAGGAAGAAGTGGGGACCCTGCACTCCACAACCAAAAAGAGGATTGTAAGTGCGCTTTGTGCAGAGACTTCATTTAACTCCCAGCTGGAGTGACGTGAGGTTCAGTAATCTTGTTGAATGTTTTAGGTAAGTCATCTACGTGTTTTTACTGCTTTGTTTTTGGTAGTAAAAACAGTACTTAGACCCACATTCTGTCATACTTTTGCTTTGAGAATGCAAAGGCAGTGAAGAGATTTATATTTTTTTCTGCGGTCACAGAGGAGCTTGTTAGAGATGTGTGTCTGCTAGGATTCTGCCAAGCACTCGTTCCTGTTTGAATTGCATTTGTTTTGGAACACTACATCCAGGAGCTGCTAAATCCATAAAGTACTTGCTACATGCATTTTAAATCGGCAAATCCAAGACCCGAAAAGTAATTAGGAGGAACCCGAGAGCAGTGGTGATGGAATAAGCTGTGAACTTAATCTGAGTAGCAAACCTTTACTCCTTCTTAAAATAACTTCATGGCTTTTTGTTCTGCTTCTTGTTACGTGGAATTTGAGCTTTTTAAATGAAATTTGGTCACAGACTAGACAAGATGCCTTTGTTTCCTTTAAGCTGGGCTTGGCAGCTGACTTTGTATGGTAGGAAGAGGTCAGGCAATGAAAGAGAGGAGAGAGGTGTGGAGGTGACTGTAAATTGTCCTGCTGTGATTTGGGGCTGAAAAGTAAGCCCTGCTTAGGATGAACAATGGTATTACGATAGCTAATTTTGGCTTTGCATAAACTGGCAGTGACCTTTTAGTAGTAGAGGTGGCAGTAGCCCCTCCTCCTAAATTGTTCTGATTGAGTAGACTTACAAAGAGAAAAAGGCAAGTATTAAAACACTGGGATTTAGAAGCAGAGTGGTTATACTGTTGGAACTATTTTTATGCAAGTTCAACAGTTTTTGGTGGAAAGTGCCATTTAAAACGTTTCTGTTCGGTGCCCAAAGTTGCCTTGTGGGAAATGATTTCGTCTACATGGTGTTAGCTGAGTAATTGTTCTTCTTTGATGTGATTTAAAAGACAGGAAAGAGCAGAAGGAAGACAATGAATAAACTGATTTTTGCCTCATTCTTATTTGCTCTGACATGCTGTGAGCAAAGCTGGATATATAGACAAGCAAGCGGTGGCAGATGCACCTTTCAGACTCTGTGGGGACCATTCCTTATCCCGTTGCCTTCTCGAGGAGACCATGAGAAGAGCAACAGGAGGAGGTTGCTCAGAGCAGCTGCTGTGGGTGGCTTCAGAAAGGCCAGCTGTGCCACGGACACTGCGGTGGGGTCCTGATGATCATGTCTTAACTTCAGGATGCTGCAGTACCTAAACCACAGACTACCAGCGGCTGTGCAAAGTCCTGCACAAGTAGAGCACAATGATTCCGCTAGAGTCAGTAATGTCAGGATGTTTTCAGTGACTTCGGTGGGTAGCTCTAAATGTCTGCTTTGGTCCAGGGTCTTAAAAGTCTTTGCAGGAATCTCATCTGAAAAGACTGCCTGTTTGTAAAAAACAGTTACTGTTTAGATTAGTTTGTCCTTTGCATATTTCAGTCCCTTTTAGTCGGGTTGGGGGTGCAGTGGGCTTTTGCCACAGATTGTTTTGGCTCACAGAGCTTCAGTTGAAGTCCTGGCCCTCATTTTTACACCAGGACACAAGAAATGCATGCCAAGTGTTTGCGTAATTATAATACTATAGAAAATAACTTAAATTCTGTGATACTTTTCTGTCCAGAGACCAACATGTGATCCTCTAGAAGTTCCATTTGCATCATGCTGTGTGTTTGTTTCCTTAAGCCATCTCCCACCTGTGTTTTTTCAGATGCTGTGGATTGCAAGACAGGCAGGAATTGGCACTGGGGCAGCTGTGCCAAGAGGACTGTGTCGTCCGGCAGCAGTCCTTATGGGTCGCCACACGTCAGCCGTCTCAGCTGCTGGAGGTTTGGGCACGCAGCAGACACCCCCCCAGCTCACAGATTGCTGCCTGGCGCCCGACCCACCTTTGTGCTCGCCGTCACTTGAAGGACTCGGTCCAGAGAGCAGAAGTACCGGTTTAGAGAGTGATGCATCAGCGGAGGGAGCAGCGAGACACGGGGACTTCGCCGCTGGTGAGGAAGACTCCGAGCAGCTTACCTCGTCAGCATCTGATCCCAAACCAGCCACCCCCGAGGAGGAACGGCTGCGGGGAAGCGTCCCAGGTACGGTGGGCGTGTGCCTGTCTGTCTCTGCCTGGTGCTGGGGCACACTCGCCCCAGCCAGAGTGATGGCCATGGCCACTAGTTTCCCCTATGTGTGGTGTGTTCTGGTTGAAGCATGGCAGCACTCTTTTTTTTTTTCTTTTTCTTTTTTTCTTTTGACTCTGTTTCCTCCCAGGCCTCTCATCTGCACAGACAAGGGCTTGCTGGGAGCCAAGCCTGTTCAGATTTGCTATTAGAAAGTGAAGAATTATTCACTGTTGTGCCCATGGTTGTCTTGAAGTAGTTTGACCCTCATTTTAAGAGGTTTAATGTGAACGTACTGCACTGGCAGAATATATCACTTCTTTTGGGTTGAGTTCCTTCTTCCTCAGATGTTTGTGCAGAAGTTATCCGTTTCCAGAAATAGGATTTGGCAATGTAGACTGAGGATCGGTATGTCCCTGTATGCAGCTGGATTAAGTCTTCCTTGGTGGTGGTTCTCTGCCTTGTTCTGGACTTCGTGAGAAAAGCGGTGCGGATCCTCCCAGCCTAGATGCTCTTGCTCTGGAATGAGATGTGCTGCCCTCAAAGGCTGCATTCCAACTTCTCCCCGCCCCATCTTGGCAAAATGCATTCTCTCGTGTTTTACTGGCTTGGTTGGTTACTTTGAAGTTAGCTAATGGACTTGGTTTTGAAGTTGCAGTGACAAAGATTTGTCACTAAGTAACAGTTTATGCCTTTTTTAAGACCTTGCAGAAATACTCTCCCCTGCCTTGCCAGTTAACATAGCAATTTTGAACTTCAACTAGTTTTCCAAGCCCCATAACAATTGCTAAAATGGAACTATTTATAATGGAAACTGGTGGCAACCCTAATGATGCAAGGACTCTGCTGTCCTGTAATGATTGTGGTTTTCTTTATAGAGGAAAGCTGGCATCCCCATCAGATGCTCTTCTGTGCTACTTCTTGGGTTTTGTTTTTTGTTTTTTTCCTGGCATCTTCCTTCTTGAGGTTTTTCAGTTTCTTTTGCCTTCTCTAAGGAATGGATTTGCCTCTCGTTTTCTTTCCTCTGATGCATTTGCCACTTCTCTGTTTTAATGACAGCCTGTCCTTTCTGGCACTGGCAGGAGACCAGTCCAGCCTGGCTTACGTTAGCCCCAGGCTGTGCCTGCAGCTCTGCAGAGCGCCGGTTCCTCCCCACAGGGAAGGCTGGGGTGGCCAGCACCGTGTCTGGGAAAGAAATAGCCATTTAATTTCTGGAATGTGGTATCTCTACCTTCAGAGAAACCGTACAGTTGTGTTCAAAATCAAAATTATCTTTTTGTCAAATGGCATGGTAATCACCTCGGACCGCCTGGAGGGCTTTCTATGTCTGTCTGCTGCCAGATGCATGTTGTGAAGTGAACAGGCTAATGCGGTCCGGGTTTGAATGTGCGGAGGGGACTGGCTTGTTCCAGCTCCCCTAAGCTTGACCTTCCATGCTGCAATCGATGGCAGCTGATGAAGATGCTTGGCGGTGCCATACCAGGAGCAAACACGCACCGGGCTCTGCTGCCGGCTCTCTGCAGAGTGGTGCTCGCCAGCTTCTCCTGCTGCTCCCTGGCTGCTGCTCAGCAGCAGCAGCACAAAATGTAGAAGCAACAAATCCCATTTCCCCCAGGCTAACAAAGCAAGAAAATGGCCCCTTTCTTCCCTTCTTCCAAACTGGAGAACAAAACTCTGCTCTTCCCCATCCTCATTTTCCAGCAAGTGCAGTAGTGGCATTTCTGTTGCACATACTTGCTTCACAAATTTGGAAACAAGGCTAAGAGAGCCCATCCTTAGACCCCATCCCGACACCAGCTGCTGCTTGGCATAAAACTTAAGTGATTTGGTTCCAGTGAAACTCCGTGACCAAGACAAGTAGAAATGCTGGTGCTGTAGCGTTAGCAGGTGTGCGAATGCTGGTTAATTTAAACCCGTGGTGAATTTTATGGAAAAGTGGGAATTTGTGTAGCAATACTAATTTGTTACAGCACTCGCTGGTCCATTAACTTTTGGCATTCTGTAAAAAGGTAAGTTGCAGGTATTTGTCATCTTGGAAGCATGATTCAGCTCTGTACTCTCCTCTTTTAGAGGAGGCAATTAACGTGCAGAGTTTAAAAGCCTCCAGGCATGTATTTCTTCTGCAAGGTTTAAAAAAGGTGTACAATAGTAGGCTCTTCAGGTGCACTTTTTCTCCCCTCTAAGAAAAGCTTTTTCCAGCTTTTCTGTTTCATTGTTCCTCCAGAGATGATTTAGTGAAGTAGCTGGTCTTCCTGCTGGTGATTTTTGAGGAGTGCCAGGTTTATCTCCCAGCTGCCAGGAGCTGCAAACCCAAAAGGCGTGAGACGTGGAGGCTGGAGCCTCCCCGGACTCCCCCTTGTGAGAGGAGCGCAGAAGGACATGGGGCCGTGGGCAGGGAAACTCAAAAGTGAAGGGAGAGCAGAGGGATGCTTGCGTACGCATGTAAGGGAGAGCTGAAGATGGCAGCGTAGGTCATCTTCGTTTAATTCTGTATGCTATGATGTATTCCTTGGTCCTGCTAATGTTTTGGGAGTAACTTTTTCTAACTTACTATTTTTACAGGACCAAAGCCTTGCCTGAGTAACTGGCAGACTTGTCAGGAGGCAAGCTGGGAGAGCAGTGTCGAGCTCCCAGTCCCCATGAGTGCCAAGGAGGTGATGTCAAGCACTCCTGGCCCGCTGCGGGGAGCAGCCTCACCCTCAGACGGCTGGGAGGAGGGCAGGGATGCCCACCCTGTGGATGGCTCCCCGCTGCAACCACCAAACCCTCCCATGGCGCAGGAGGAGCCCTTGGTCAGCTCAGCACCAGACAGGTATGTCCCTATGTGTATTCTCTCTGCTGGTACTCATTTGTTGGCGTGTGCCCTGGAGGCCACTTTCACAGCCTGGCTGGTATGTGGCACTAAAGCTGCACACAGGTGGGCAAACTTCTTGGCTATTTATTTAGTATCTCGCTACCTCTGTGCTGGTGGCTTTAGGTAACTCACTGAGGTCAGACTTAGATGGGTTAAGTATGTTTGTTGATAAAATGCAATAGATGTTCTTTAAAAGTATACAAATCTTATTTCAACAAGTTTATATCATAGTACTTACAGTTTACTAAACAGCATAGTTTGTGTGGATTAAAATTTCCAGTTGGTTGCATTTCTTGAGCAGTTTGTTTGGAAACAGTAGAGAGAACAAGGAAAGCATGACACAGATGCATCTGCTACTCTGTGAAAGTGCTGGGGTTTTATTGCCAACAACTGCAACACCAGAGTATCAGCTGTATTACCAGTCATAACTGGATTTTCGGCCTTGCAATGTGCTTGTAAGACTGGGAAGCACATCCCCATCCTAGCGGACAATACCCACTCCAAGACGGTCTATGGGGTTTGCCCGGGTTGCATGGCGGGGCTGGCTTGACTCCCTCACTGTGTTCGAACAGCCCCATGCCAACCGCCGTCGTCCCTTCCAGGGTCCACACCTTGTCATGCCCTGTTGCTGCGGGAGCATCCCTCCATTTGCCACCGGTTCCCTCTGCAGTGTGTCATGTATGTGTGCATCCCCCCGCCCTTCCCCTCAGCCATCCTACCGCTACCTGACCCCGCAATTTTGTGACTGGTGACTTGCCTTTCTCCTGCCTGCTCTCCCTTAGCAGCACACTTCTGTTTTCTTGTCCTCTGTGTTCTCAACACCCTTCTCCCTCCTCACCAGCATCGCTGGTTGGGGGTTTTTTTGGTTTTCGTTGTTTGTAGCTTTTTAATCTGCTTAACACATCTATTCTTCCTACATTCATGGTCACGTCGTCTTAGGTGTACTGATTTCAATATTAGTTTGTATTTTAATAGATGACAGTTGAGCAGAAACTGGTGGCCAGCAATATACACTTCTGTAACTTTATCATTTCACATTTGCATCAGACTGTTGCTTGCTATGGAAACATCATCTAATTTACATCTAAATAGCTTTTACCCAGTTTTTCTTTTGTATAACACCTGTTAATCATAACACTTTGTAGGGAAGTTGCATAGAGTGCCTGCCTTTGCTAGAGAAGTCGTAGCTGAGCGATGGTAATTTAACCTTTTGTTCTCTCCCTGTCAACGCTAGTGATGCCTTGCTGTTCATAAACTGATGAAAATATTGTGCAATGCTCTTGAAGCCCAGCTAAATTATATGAAAGGTTTCACTGCTCGCATTATCTCCAGAGCACGACTGAAACCAGAACATGGAGGTTTCCGCTCGCATTATACCAAGCTGAATACCTCCGTTTCTCAAGGCCATAGAAGTGGGATCGCCACTGTTGGCTGTTTCTGCAGAAAAGATAGAAATTTTAATTTCTTTCACCTGAAAATTAAAAGGCAGATAAAATTTCAAAAATGGCAGGTGCAGAAGGCCTCGTGGAGGGATAAGCAGCCTTTTCCATTGTTGCACTTACAATCCTGTAGTCTTTCCGGGTTCATCTTTCCAATGCACATGAAATTCAGCATGCATGCTCGAGTTTTGTGAAATAATTCATGAGCTGAAAATCTTGGGGAACAGTTTCCAAGTAATTACTGCATGAATTTCAGTTATGTAAGTTACACAAACTATGAGAATGCAACTTCTTTTGGTCTGAATATACCATGCCACAGATTCACAGAATGAATAGTATCACAGGTCTTGTGATGTCCCTTTAGTCTAAGTGTTTTTTCTCTTACAAAATTCCTATGCTGGCTGTAGAAATATGCAGAAATTATGCAAAACTATACACGTTTGTCCTCTTAAATTGAAATATCTGCAGCTTGGACTTTCCCAATGCAGCAGTGTCACTGCTGTGGCATCCAGACAAAGTACCATCCCTCGCCTTTCTTTGGGCCATTTGTACACTTTTGGTGTTGTCTTTGAAATTAGTATAAGTGATGGAAGGGAAAGGAGCTTTTGTGTGCAGGGATCATAGCTCACTTGGAACGCAAAACAAAATTCTTGTTGCGTGTCAGGAAGTCACAAGCTTACGTTTTCGGAGAAAATTCTTTTCCTACCTTACTGCAGAAATAGCTTTTTTTAAAGTTTTGGGTTTTTTCCACACAGTAAGTGTTTGCAGGTCATATTTTACCTCTGGGTGAGTTCAGCCTAATTTCAAACTGCCTTTTCCAGATAGAGGAATGGTTGTCATGATAACATCATCAGGTTATTAGCCAAAGAAAGGTGATGTTGCTATGAAAGGTTATTTAGTGTAAGCTTTGCGCCTTGGTTGCAGTTCACAGTGGGGTGCTGTGATTTTGCTACCTTAGTTATTAAAAATGGTGATGTTGGCAAATAACTCTGTGTTTCTGAGCATTTTTGGCTGGGTGCATTGATCAGATACAGAGGCTGTACACACACATCTGCTGTCTCATCCCACAAGCTCAGACCCACTTGAGGGCCTGGGCTGTGTATTTTCCATTCAGGTCTGCAGCCGAAGAGCCCGCTGGTGAGCTGGGGGCTTGCCTGGCTTGTTCGAGTGGCACCGTAAAGGCACCTGATCTCACCTCCTGTCAGGTGGAGCCACCCGATAGCTCCGGTCCGGAGGTGAAAGGCTCCGTATCCTCTTACCATTCCTTACAGCACCCGGCCCTTTCTTTAAGGGCTTAAACCCGGGGAGCAGGAGGTGGGGGGGAGAGGGTCTCTGAGAATTAGCACAGAGAAAGATGATGACTATTTTAAGGCCTGTGCTGAGGGGGTGGAAAAAGGCAGAGCTTATGCCTGTGCTGCTTCAGCTGCATTGAAGAGGACTTAGCACAGATGGATTGTGCATTACAAAATGTAACACATAATTCAAGCTGTCAGCTTAATCAGACTGTTTCCAGGAAGCAACCTGTAAAAGAGAAGGACCTCTTGTTTGCTGACCTCTGATCCGTAGCCTGCTGCAGATTGTCATACATTTTGTTTTTCTTTATGTTGGTGTCCCTTCCTTCCCCTTCCCTTTTTATTATTGTATCCCTCTCGAGTGGCACCCTGGAAGGACCACCCAGTGGGAGGAAAACAATGGGAAACGAGCTGGCCGCTAAAATACAGGGTTTGTAAGACTGGGGGAAAAGAAAAAGCACTGTTTAACTGCATATGTGATCTCCCTGGTATTGTTTTGCTTATTAAATGTCTAGGAAACGCGGCTAAATGCACGGCAGCTCCCACTTAATTGTTCACTGTTGCCCAACAGTCCGATGGAAAACACAACTTCCATTATAGCTTAACATGGTTGCAAAAATGATCCAAGTTTTCAGGCACAGAGCTTTTCACTTGAGGGAGCATAAACCAAGGTTAACTGTATAAATGTGTTAGCTTCTACATATGGCCAAAAAAAAAAAAAGTTATTTTGCCTGCAGGACTCCGTGGGCGCATGGCCCAGCTGGGGCATTGCTGGTGGAGACCTGGCCTGGAAAGTCCCCAACAAAGCAGGCAGCCGGGCTGGACCTGAATAGCCATTTACACCTCTGTTCAAGGATTAGCCTGCCGTATTGTTTCAATGTTTTAAGTCCTAATTTGCATCATTATAGAGGTGCAGCTTCATCAAAAACCCTCTGAGGTCCCAGTTATGTCCCCATACCTGTAGGTGGTCACCAGATTGATTTCAATTGTGGAGGTGAAGGAATTAAACTACTTGGCGCAGGGGTAATTTCAATGCAGTGTCTCGGGCCCTGGCTGATTTTTTTGGGTGGATTGTTTGCTTATGTGCTTTTTTTTTTCCTTCCTACAGAGCTTAAGCAGCATGGTTTTTGCTGGTGTTTGCTTTGAAAAGCTAAATGAGGGTGTTTGTTTTTCCAACTGCTGTGATGGGAATGCATTCAAAATACCTGTTGCAGCTCAAGTGCCTTCAAGCCCTGTTTCTCTGTCCACAGGCACGGTGGGATGCTGGCAGGACTCTCCCGTGCACTGCAGCTGATAGAAGACGTGGTGGTGAGGATGAGCCCTGGCCACCGGGTGCTGTACCAGGGCAAGCACCTGTGGACAATGAGGACAGCGGAGCTGCTCAGGTTAATGCTGCTTCCCTGCGAGCTGCCTCCCTCTCCGCTGCCCTCACAGAGCAGGCAGGAACCGGGGAGGCAGGCAAATGCTGCCTGCGCCTTGACCCCATCCTCTGTATTCTTCTTTGCTTGCTGCTGTACATTCAATGTAATGCTTGTAATAATCTTGTGGTTGATTGCTTACACACTTCTAATTGAATTCAGGTGAGCAATGGCGAGAGGCTGTTACCAAGCAGCTTTGCAGGAGCCTGTTGAGATTTGAGGCAAGGATCCTCGCTCTTGTGGTGACAAATGGCCAGTGCAAAGAGCAAGCGGGCTCCTGCAAACAAACATTGCTAGTTGCTAAGAGGCCTCCCTCCCCTTCCACCATTTTCATGTCATCAGAGAGCTGAAATATGGCACTTAGAAGCACATACGCAAATTACTCCAACAAATACTCTTTCCTAAATGTAGCACTTCTCGCAGCCTTGCTCCGCAGATCCCTTAGGTGAAGTAAATACTTGTTTCCAAGAATGAGAGCATCCCCTTAGCTAGTAATGCTGTTATGGTTTACTGAGGTAGACAATGATGACCAGAAAAATAATTTCTTCCTCAAGGTAAAAGAGCAAAGAGAATCACCAAAACCCACGTATTAACAAAACCGGGGTCAGAGAGCTCTCACTGTCCCTCCACAGCATGGGCTCTTAATTGCAAGAACTGGGAACGGCTTTGTAGTTTTACTTAAAATTATATGTCAGCTTCCATAAACTGGGATTCGTGTAAGTACTTGATGGTTGGAGGATTTCTAAGGAATTAGGAGGAAGGGTTCCCCAAACGACCTGGCCCCTCCAGCCGACCATTGGAGATGGGTTCCTGTGACACAACTGCTTTGGCCACAGCACGGCCGGGGCTGTCTGGCCAGGAAGTGGTTTTACCGAGTGGATGTGCACAGGTTCCCCTCTCCCTGTCAAAAAGCAAAGGTGTGAGGTTAAACCTAGCACAGTGTTTTCGAAGCCCTGGGTTTGACCTCCCTCTCTGTTCCACATCTTTTGCAGAGAGCGTCACAGACGTTTGTCCCTCTGGGCTGTCCCACTGGTTATCCCATTAGCCAGGAGAAGTGTTACAGATTCTGCCTCTAAACCAATGCTGGCTGTCTGGGCTTTGAATAAACGTTGCATGTAATACCTGCTTTATTTTGTATCTTTTGTAATTGGGCCGGCAGTCTTAAAGAAGACGACCTTGAAGCATGCGAAGCAGTTGTCCTTCATCAGCTTCGGGCTTTATCACAGAGTACGCTGAATGGATGCCTCCTACCTGAGAACACACTCGATGCTGAAGGTAGAGCGGTGAATGAAAAGCAAACCAGGTATCGCAGACACAAAACTTGCGTGTGGGTGTGATTAACATTCTTTTCCTTCCTCCCCAGGTCTGCTCTGCCTCTCTGGTACAGAGAAAGCAGACCCAGGGCCAAACCTCCAGTTGCGCTGGGAAAATAAACACATCAGTGCCGATCTTTATGCATCTTGGCAGCAGCCGTATGACTTGAAATGAGGACATTAAGCAAATTCATTTATTTTCCATTTGATTCACCGATGGTGAATCTTATTCTGACAGGCAGCACTTGGGCTGTGTCCCCCCATCTCACCCAGTCCGCAGCATCTCCCACCCGAGGCAGCTCCGACAGGGAGGGGAAACTCATTAACTTCAGAGACCTCTTAGCCAGTAATTTCTGTGATCTTCAACATGAGTCTCAGGCACATAAGGATGGGGAATATAATTCTGAGAAGCGAATTATCTTTCTGTGAAGCAGAAGATGCATATAGCCTTTAAAAACAATAAACCACAGTTATTCAAAGTGGTTTTTTTCTTTCCTGTGTGTATGCCACAAGGACAAGTGAGAATTGATTTATTTTTTTAGGTCTCTTTAATACAATAATGAAAACAATTTCCATTCTTTCTTACTTAGCTTCTGTCTAGACCTTCCTCCCTGTTACAGGCTCAGCAATGCTCAAGTGTTAGCAGGATTGGGGCACTTCTGAGTGCTGAAGAACGGTCTATTTAACTATACCTGGTTCTCCTTTCGAGGCTGATATGCCTGCGAGCACTAATACGTTGTTGTGTTTCCTGAATGGTTTCTTAGGGACAAACACTTCTGGAGTTAATTGGAATTTACTCCTCTGTTTGTGAAACTTCATTGGAGCAACTGGAAAAACAAACATCTTTGGCAAAACAAGATTGCAGTATTTATATTTTCTGTGTTAAAAGGCACTTTTGCTCAAAAATAATAAAAAGAATTCTGGAGAAAAAACCCAAGCCTGGGGAAGTGGGTGCCCAGCAGAGTGCCTGACGGAGTAAGCGAGGAGTGCCCAAGGCTGAGACGAGGGGCTGCAGAAAAGATTTAATATCTCCTCATCCTGACTCAGGGTGGACCCAGGGAACAGACATGATGATGATCACCCCTGCTTGTCCTCCCCACATTTGCAAAAGTCACGAGTGACAACTTATGTTTTACACTTTGGACGTTTTTAAAAGAAAAAGTGGGAATTAAGGACAAAGCGCGTGATGGCTTTTCCTGCTGCATGTTGACCTGCTTGTCCAGATAAATGAGTAGTGTGGCACTAGTGTGAGTCTCGTGTATACAGGGTGTCTCACTAACAGTGCCTGGGTTTGTTTCTCAGGCCAGACCAGCGGTGGGATGTGGACATGCTGCGGACTTGCTTGAGCAACCATGCCTTGTTCTTGAGAAAGCACCAAGTTCAGGTCACAGAAGAAGTGGCAGAGATGTTTGAAAGCCTGCTGGTTTCCAGCAAGAAGGTGCAGGACTGTCAGGTTGGCACTTGCATCTAATAATACCTAAAGCAATGACACCTAGAGACTAATTTGCACTGCTAAGGTGAGACGGGCCCTGTGCTGCTTACGTGATCTGGTGGGTGGGCTGTAAGGGGCATGACAAGCAGTCTGCGTTCATTAATCAGCCTTGGAGATGGTTAGGAGGTAAGTAAGGAGAGAATACGAGTTCTTCACTTTTATCAGAGCAAACACGTATAGCACTTCATCCCACGAAGAAAACGGTCTCTTTAAGGCCTCCAAGAGGCTGTCTGTTTTCTACCCTTCACATCAGTTATTTATTTAAACAAGCTCACATTTGCTGTGGTGTGAATTTATCGCAAGGCTTATATCATCTGTCCTTCTCTGTGGCCTAGTAGCTTTGTCATGAATGATGTGGGTTTTGTTGCGGTTTTTTTAAACCGTTTTTTGGTACACTGGATACACAGAGCTTTTTGCAGATAGGAGCATGCTCATTTTTTTAAAATGTTTATGCAAAATGTTATAAATTAACTCTTTCAAAAAAAAAAAAGTTGGCATTTGGTAGACCTGTGAGTGCCCGAATCTCTTTTGCTGCAAACTCAGAGCAGCTAGCCACGTGGGGAGGGCAGGGCTCCCATCCCCGCTGCCTCCAGCTGCCGCCATGCGAGGAGAGCTGGGACTCTGGCACCAGGCTGATGTCCCAGCTGCTTCTGCACCACCCCTGCGGTGGGCACCAGCAGGTCTGCCAGGCACCCTGCCAGTAACAAGTTGGCTCCGTGTTCTGCTCTAAAAAATATTTTCAAAAAATATTTTTCCTTTAACTTTTAATGAGAAATTAAAAAGCAGTTTGAATTGCTTTGCTATATTCTAGTTTTAATAGCGTTTGAAACAAGTAATGAAGATGTAATATTCTAGTCAGTTGTACACTTTGAATAATAGCCAGGGTAACTTCTTTTTCTGAAAAGATTATGTGGATAAGTAATTTGTATTCTGTCCTTAGAACATTCAGGCAAGTAGAAGAGATGAGCAAGGAATGTATCATTGTGCTGGTGACAGATAAACAAATACTGCACATAAATTTCTAATTGCATGTAAAAACTTTTACGAAGTCAAAGCTCAGTAACACAAGCTTTATGGGCGAATATATGCAGTAGTGATCTGTTTATTGCTATGTATTACTGTGGCCCACGCACACACATTTAACATTTATATTACCTATTAAGTGGATCCAGTCAATTAAATGCAGTGCCAGGATGCATCCCCTACTTTGAAACACCTTATTTCCAAGCAGGTTGCACAGAACAGGATCAATGTAAATTATACAATGTGCATGTACAGGAACAGTTGCTGTATATGATGTAGTAGTGAACTTGTAAGCGATCTGGAGCTAAGGATCTTTAAATTTATGACTAGAAAGTTTGAATTTTTGGCCCATATTGATGTCTTCTTTCTCTGAGGGCTTAAAGATCTGCCAGGAACCCCACCGGATGATGGTACTGTGCAGCCAGGCAGCAGGGGTGGAGGTGCAGGAGGGAGCTTTGGGCTTCTGACCATACAAATAGCCCGGTCAAGTCTGCCAGCTCCATCCCCATCAGCACTTGTGGTCCATGGAGGTTTGGTGATGACCAGCAGCAGGTTCACCTTCTCCTGTAGTGCATTCAGCATCTCACCCATTCCAGTGGTCCACAGAGTCTGTCTGTCCACCTGCCTGTCTTATCCTCGTTTCTTAGCACTAACTTATGTCTGTCTTGTATTCTTCTACGTCTTACTATCAGTTTTCTCTTCTCTCGCGAGAAGAGAAAACTGCCCCTGTTAGGAAAACTGGGTATTATTCTTGCAGACACGGGACAGCCGTAGGGAGCTGGTGTGGTGGGAGCACCTTTTCTGGGCAGTGGGATAGTCTCTTGGCTGTGGAAGCTGTGGAATCCAGTGCCCTTTTCAGCCAAGTTGCACTCCTGTAAGAATAAGATGCGTGTGGCACATGCGGCATGTTGGATGTCGTCATGCCCAATGGATATGTTGGCCACCCTGGAGTCATCTTGGTCCCTGTGACTCTGAGCGCCGAGCTTTGGTTCTCCTGGTGGGAGCCTTCCTTCTCCTGGATTAATTATGGTGCTAGAGTTTACACTGATTTGCTTGTATTTGGTGGTGGTGGTTCATGCCTATTTGGATGTTAAATGGTAGTGCAAATAGGTAAATGAAGTACTTCTGGTGTGAGAAGTCTGCACTGAGATAAACTGCTACACAGGAGTAATTTCTTCCAATAGTAAAGGTTTCCCAATACTGCCTGTAATTTAAGGCATTCTTTACATTAAGAAAATGAGACTTAAAATCTTTGTTGTTTTGGATGAAGTAGCAGCTTGCTGGGGTTGATTTTGTATGGAGATTTCCCATATATAAGTTTAATATAAAAAAAACCTACCACAGTAAGCTATCAGCTTAAGACTGAAAAGTTGCCATTCTGAGCTCCTGAATTAATTAATGGATTAATGAGGAGGTGGCAGATGCAGGAGAACAAAATTTTCTAGTGAGTCCAAAATGTTTTGGCTTGAAGCTCAGGTCAGTACATACAAGTTACAAAACCTGGAGTTCTCTCTGAGACGTTAGGCCTCATCACTGAAGTCTTACTGTTTTATTAAGCAGTTGTTTTATTAAACAACTAGATAATTAGAGCAGAAAATGTAGTAGATTTTAAAGACTCAAATCCATATTTTGTGTTACAAAATAAAACCAAGAGGAACAACCTACAAGTAAAGAAGAGCTGGGAAGGATGCCCAAAAAGCCTTTGCTGTTCTTTGTGAAAAAACAAATGCCAGGAAGGATGATTTCTCCTGCTCTCAGAAAAAGCTTTATAAAGCCACACGCAGTACTTTTAGCACAGGTGGGTGATAGCCTAAGAAGTGCTTGCTGTATTTTAAAACCACTTTTAACGCAGCCATATTGATGGTACAGTCAGCTCCCTGTAAAGGTACCGGCTTGCAACTTAATTTTTTGCATCATAAATAAGCTTAACTACAGAGGCGTGAGCAGGCTGCATGCACAGGCCGGAGAGAACAAACTTCACAAATGTGCAGGAGTAACGTGGATTGAAATCGGAACCGCACCTGGCTGAGGCTTGCTGGGGCAGGCTGCGCATCAGGTCCTCTGCTATTGCTAACGCTGTGGGTTAACTTGCCTTATTGCTGCGTGCCTGAAATGGAGAGATTTCTCTTCCGTCTGTTGCAGCGTATTTGATGCACCCTTCTGTTTTGCTTACTCTGAATGCGTGAGGAAGGGAATACTGAGAATTTCCAGAAAACCTAGTGATTAAAAGAATAATTCAAAGTTTGTGTTACTTCAAGGCAGAATGCAATTCCTGAGTTAGCGCAAATTTACCTCAGAGGTAATTTAACATCTAACAGAAACACCCTGGAAACAGATTAGACTGTGAAGTATAGATTAGCCTAAATGTATGTTGGAAAACGCTCGACATGAAGGATAATAGAGCTGCGGCTATGTTTATTTTTTTTCATGCTGCAGGCTCTACCAGTGTTGAGAGAGGTCCTTCCAGAAGAGTGTGGGGATAGGTCATCTATTCAGAGTAATGAATCATCTTACAGCTTGCCATCGATCCCAAACGACGGCGGGGAAATAAAGCAGGCAAAACACGCTCCCTGGCTCGCTGGTGCAGGAGAACAAGGTAACGAGTGTTAAAAGGTCTGGCTGTGCACTCAAAGTTACTGTCCTTCGCTGTATATATGTATTTTCTATCCAAATCTGCAGGGGACTGGTGAATTAATGTAGATTTGTAATGAACTTTGGGGGATTTTCCTAAGTATCTCAGGATCGTTTGTCGTTCTTGTTACTTCTTAAAATGAGTGATGTCTATTGTGACTTTTTTTTCTGCTGGAGTAGAAAAGCAAGCCTTGTGGCAGTTATTTAAAAACAAATCGGTAGGTGTGCATGTGTTTAAAGGTGTGCATGTCTAATGTTTAGAAATTGCAGGATATATTCGTTGCCTCTTACTATAAAGCCAGACCGCAGAATAAATTTTCAAAAATAAAAGGGTTCATGCTGAGAAAGGTGTGTAGTGCCGCTTCAGAGCTCAGAAGGTGAACACGTTTGTGAAAACCAGTTAATTTCTTTAGATAAGGAAGTAATATATTAGGCCGGCATAATAACTGGCGACGGCAACTTGCTCAGTCTGCTCTCAGAGCATCCCTTACATCAAAGTCCGGAACAGACAGGCAATTAGGTTGCAATGCTCTTTACACAGCAAATGTAAACAAACTGCTTTAGGCCTCCTAAATTCACGCGACTTTTATCCGCAGAGGAGACGGAGACTTTGATTTAAACTAATTTTCTGCAGTCGGTATGATATATGCTGCTGCTGTCGGGCTGCCGGACGAGATCGCAGAGTTACTGTGGGTTGTTTGTTTCCTAAATCCCATTGGGTCTTAAATAATTTAAGACATTTGGTTAGCTTGTCCTTTTCTCTGGAAGCTACAGAGGCAGGGTAGCTTCGCGTGTGAGGAAAGTTCACAGTAGGCGCCTCTTTTAAGAACAGTAATGGATAGTTTAGATCAATAAACAAGAGATAACAAAAGTGAGAAATTACAGGGAGTAGGGCTTAAAAGCAAGCAAACCAGTCTGATCACTGCGACTTTGAAATGTGTTTCATTATGGTATGTTCACATCCAGAAGTCACAAGCTGGTGTGAAGATGAGAGCAAGGAAGAAAGCGTGGTCGAAAAGATTCCTATTACAGGTGAAAGTAATGGCTGCATATTAACCTCGAATCCAGTATTCAACTTTTTATTATATAATCAAAACATGGTGTTTTAGTGGTTTGGGTCCACTAATAGTGAGTAAATTCAGCTACTACATACTGAGCGTGAAGATTAAACGTAAGATCCTAAAGTCCACGCTTATGTTAACATAAACCAAGATGGAAAATAACAGCGCCTATTTAATTCCTTGTAATCATGTTATACATTTAAACCATGTGAATATCCTGTCATTTAGCCTTTCAGGTCCTGGTATCAGTGTTACAAAGGTCAGTCTCCGTGGGGAAGATCCAGTAATTATATGGCAAACTACAGATGTTTCTGATTTGATTCTTTTCTTTTCTCGAGTAATTGAATGTGTGTCATTAGAATAAGCGCAGGGAAGAACCCTGCTAGCCAGGAAACCGTGCCTTTGCCTCCCTTACAAACGCTGCCTGATAACACAAATTTTTTAGCAATAAGGTTTTATCAAGGCATGTTCAGATCCTCCCGCAGCAGATGTATGAGGCTTGCTGAGGATCCCGAGGTGTCGCTGCATTTTGGTCCTGGGGTATCAGTAAGGCATTAGTATTCAGGACAGGGCTCTTTGCAATGAATCTCGATTTTGCTTTTGCTTGATTTTTGTAAAGTGGTGGGCTGCTTCCATATAAATTTTGATGTTTGGCTAAATACCTATTTATGCAGGTGTGTACACCAACAGAAAGGTGTGAGGGCATCTGCTTATGCAACACTCGCTGTTGCTTTTCTGCTCTTTTCTGGCTTCAAAATAGCCTGTCTTTCGGAGAGCAATTCATTTCTCTATAGAGGTTTTCCTCTGCTGCTTTTTGAGTCTAATTTGCAGCTGAAATATAAAAATGTGCTTCTTGTATTCCTGACTTATACTGCAGTAATAATATTCCTATGTTAGCCCAATAAAACTTAAATTATTTTTTTTCTAGAGAGTAGAATGCTTTCCATTTTCCTGCTTCTTAAACTGTCCTTCAGTCACACATGACAATGTATTTTAAAACATGAATTGCATTGGTTTTGAGAGGAGTTAAAAGCCACTAAAATCTTGTTCGTGAAACAAAACACACTTCTCATTTGAAAATTAATCTTAAATTTTTCAAATCTTGGGACTGCTTTGATTTTGTTTGTAATGTAAGAGGATTCAAATTTGAGGACTGGAGTTCTTGTTCCCTGAACTGCAGAGTGCCAGCAAGAACAAGGTCAGGAATGGTGACTCCTGCCAACTAAATTTTTTTCTTTTAAGGGGAATACCGAATCTTGAGTTTGGATCTCTGTAGCTGCCAGTGCTTCTGGCTTGCTTCTCCCCACCCTGAATTTTAGGACTTATCAGTGCTGGTTTTAGCTATGATTTTGCATCCAATTTTGTCAGGGAATTCTCTTGCAGTTTTTCCTGCTGGGCACCCCGAGGGTCTGCACAGCTGGTTGCTGTGTTAGGTGTCAGTTAGTCAAAAGTCAAGCCACGACGGCCATCCCCCTTCCCTACTCCTGTAGTTTTCTTACTGAATGGGCATGCAAATCCTAATGCTTCCTATCTGTAAAAATGCTGAGAGACTCTCCCTAACCTAAACGCTGGAGCCAGTAACTTCAGTGTAAAACCCATTCTTTCAGAGTCTGCCTTATTTACTGTTTTGTTGCAGCGTGTTTCCAGTAGCCAGCAGTCGCATTGTCTCTAGGAGTAAGGCTTTTCATATCTCACTTGAAAGCAAAGTTGCTCCTTTCAGATGCGATTCATCTTCAGCCCATGATCTTCTCCAGGCTTCTTGTTCTCCTCTGGCTCCTCGCCCTTCCAGCCTGTCGCTTTTTTCCTTTTTGCTCATCATTATTTGCTGTAGACGGTGGCCCTGGAGCTCTGAAATTGTTCAGTGCCAAAAATAGAGGCAGCATCTCCGTACGCCATCCTTTGGGCTCAAATGACTTCATTGAGGGTTTGGTTTTGTGGTTTTTAGATGAACTGATATTTAATGTCCATTCTATACGTGACCATTTTGCTGTACAGCTTTTCCTAAGCTTAAGGGATACAAATTTTGTTTTTTTTCAATACTTGCTGCATTCTTTAAGGGCTTTAAGTGTTGGCTTGAAACACTGGAAGCCTCAGGGCTTTTGATTTTTTTGATGCATTTCATTGAGAGAGCTGGGTGGATGTGCTTCCAAACAGTCTTCTGTGATGGCACTTTAGAAATGCTTCTGTAGTTTTGGTTTATTTTTCTTCTACTTTTGTTACAGAAAAAAAAACCCAAAATATTTATTTTAATATTATGTAAATATGTGGAAGTATTTGTATTTTTTCCTTAATGCCTGTAGGAGAGGAAGGCGATAGCTGTGTGGCTTTGGGAAGAAGGGCTGCTTTAGAGCTGTAGGTGGCATGGTGTTGGGTGTTCTTTAGAGACAGCCTGTGTTGGTATCTGACACTGCTCATGCAAGGACTGACTTCACCCGGAGCTCTTCGAAACAGGGACTTGGACTGAAACATCTGCTGTGCTCTTCCTGTCCATGGCAGGACACGCGAGCTTGTCACAGCCATGGTCAACTGAGGGTGCCGGGGCAATGTAGCTCATAGCATAAAGATGGTTTCTTTCCTAGAGCCTTGTCCTAGGCTTGTGGAAGGCCATGCTGTGATAACTGACTTTAAAAGGATGATATTGGGTGTATGGTCTTGCCCAAAGAGGAGTTAGCTGTTAATGGCAACCTCACTTTATGCCAGGTTGTGCAAGGATAGAAGAGGATGTGTGGCCTTGTTCTCATTTTCTTCATGGATGCTTTGGGGAAGCATCATGGGAAGACAGGTAAAAGAAATAGTTTGGCTTTTTTTGCTGTTCCTGAGGTAGGCAAATAATGCCAGATTAAAAAGAAAGGATAAAACCCATTGTTTTTTGTTTTGCTGGATGACTGAGTCTCATTAATGAGTAGGAAACTGCTGGTTTCATTGAAGGGACAGGTTTGTTAAATCTTTAACAAAACCAGATTCTCTCCCTGCCCTTCACTGACATCTTTGATCTAAATAGGCCTTAAAGCTATAAAGCCTTTGAATAAAAATGGTGTTAATTCTCCACTCATCAGGCTTCACTTTCACAACATCTTGAATGTCACATTCCAGCTACTCTCCAGGTACAAAATCTCTAATGTAGAAATAAGGGAGGAAAGAAACCCTTCTTAACGGGGAGGGGGAAAAAAAAAAATTGGCCCTTCATATATCATAAGGGAACATGAAAGGGCATGAATCTGATTCTGGTTTCCTTTTCAGGTCACCTTTAATGAGCCAATAATCCTGCCGACACTTTTCCCACGCCCACGTGTCCTTCCCAGTGAGGTCCTCCTTTGAGCTTGAAGCTAAAGGGTTCCCAAGGTTCCACTTGGAGTGCACTAATAAAGGCATTAACAAGTCTACCTAACTTTTTGCTTCATTTGGTATCAACCCATTCACAGCTGCTGTTACAAAAAAAGTTTATCTGTATGTGATTAATCGCTGCTGCTGTTGTGGTCTCACAGAACTACCTCAGGACAGTGTGAGATTGTACGTTTTGCTTAAATCAGTTTGGATTATGTACTCCTGTAGGTGATTATTTTACGCTGCTTGCCTTCAGTTCCTGAAAGACCTCAGTCTTTTTATAGTTATGAATCCTGGGTGAAAATTCTTCTTCAATCTTTAAACAGAGGCAGCAGCTTTTAGAAGTGTTCTCACTGGGTGGCTTGCTCCACTGGTCATCCGAGTGTCTCCTCGTGAGAGGATAGCATCATACGTTGGTATATTATTATGATAATAGTATTTTATCCTTTTTCGTTTAAAGGAAAGGGGAAGGTGTTTGTTGGTATTTGACCTACTTCTGGATACTGGTTACTGCAGCATTCTGCATAGGTTTTAATTGGGAGATTTTTCCCATCTATTTTCTCTCCAAAGAGCACATTCTTCTGTCAGATATGCAGGTAGCCTTTATCTTCTCTCTGTATGCAAGTTTTTTTGCTTTATCACAAGGGAAATCGGTATAAGAGCCCATATACAGCTGGCACTCACACCTCTGGTCCCAAGGCAGAGGCATGCAGCGCGGCTGGTTGTGTGCTGGCAGTGGCATGGCAGCTGACAGCCCACCTTTAATCCCACGTAGCTCTTTGTAGATTATCAGCAAGTGCAGTAATTAGTGTTAACGTGGTGGAGGAGCTTGTTCAGGTTTAAAGTTCCTCTGGGCAGGGACTATTGTTAGTTTTCTATTTTGGTACAGGACCTAGCAGTACGGCAGCTCAGACCTACCAGGACTTCTGAGTGTGAGTGCAGTAACTATTGCCAAGGTAACTGTAAAACTACACAGTTTGCAGGCTCAGCTGATCCTGATCATGTTCCTTTCAAGGCATTATTGACTTTGAAGTCTAGTGACAAGCTGAAATACCCAAGCTGCTAACTATTTTATTGGTAATAAAAGCACACAGGAAAAAGCAAGGTTCCTTTTGGTGTAGGCTCTCAGTTGCATACGGCAGGAAGATGCAGAACGTGTCTGGGTTGAGTCTGCGAAAGCACTGCTGTCTTTTGCCCTCCAACTACCTCCGTTTGCATACGGGATTATTGATTGTTATTGGAAATAATGGATGATAGCTCTTTATAGCTTTTGAGTGGCTTACAAAATGCTTTTGTTCCTCTCCTGGTAGGGCAGCACCTACTATACTGCTTCCGCTTGCTTATGTGCTTTGTCACTTAGGCTGAAGTTTTCAGTTTTTGCTCGCAAACCACACAGGCTATGTGTGAATATAGTGGTGTTTGTTTTCCCAGTCTGCATTTTAAAAAAAAAAAAAAAAAAAAAAAAACACCAAAAACCCACACACAAACCCCCCCCCCAAAAACAGCAACCTTGTGAATTGCCTTTCCCATTTCCAGCAGGCAGAGTCAAGCACTTTGTTCATAGAAAGTTGATTTGATATCTGCAGATGACTTTTCTATGCTGGGACTTGAGCTGCAGTGAAGGGCTTTAATGCTGGTTTTGATGTTTAAAAAGTGTGGGCTGCTTCGTCTGTGAGAGAGGTAATACAATTAGCAAGATATAAATGTTGCAAGGACAAGGCCAAGAGCTTTCTTATCTCTTCATTTGCAGAAAGTTACATCACATCACTTTTTTAGCTGCTGAGATGTTTGGCTATAAGTTGATAAATGCTGCAACCTAGGCTATAAGGGATGGAGAAAATACCTTCTTTTCAGTTCTGTGCTGGTACAGTATGTTCTGGGTTAAAGATCGCTTAACTGTTCGGCAGAACAAAATAATAGTGGCTCATTATGCAATGATGGCAGGTTTTTTCCTGGAATTGTTGGCTAGTGAAGAAAACTACACCTATTTTGTTCAGAACAAAATTGTAAAAGCTGACATGAAAGCTGCTCTGACCCATGCCGACGGCACAATTAATTCAAAGTTGAAAAGTGTGGAGTGTTTTTGATTAACAGTGGTATCGCAGATCCTTTGCTAGTTCTGGGTGGAGGGAACAACACATAGGGAAAAAGGCATGAGGAGAGATGTCTGGGACACCTCAGCTCCCGTTCTGCTGCATTATTGCTCAAACGACTGGATTAAGAACTTGCCATTATTAACATCGCAGTTTGAGTTTCAGGACTGAGTTTTATCAAGCTTGCTCGGTTGTGTCTGTGCAGTACAGGCTGGCCATTCAGTCTGACTAAATGCTCAAAGTGCCCCATGAGGACAGCTTCGCCCCTGCGTGCCTGCGTTGTTTCTGGGGTGCCTCCAGAACACGTGAGCTGGTGATGTGTTGAGGCCACTCCTTCCAAAAGCCGGTGAGGAAGAGAACATCAAGCAAATGGCATCTGTCTTCTACCTGGTGGAGCAAAAATTTACCGAATTCAGATGGGAAGGGAGAGGGTGGTTTTTAGCAAGCCTGAGTACGGCCCAGGAGGCATTACAAGGTGGCCGTCAGGAGCTGCTGCTCTCCAGCAGCCCAGTTGCAGCCCTCATCTCACCTCCGCTTCAGCTTCCCCGTGCAGCTGCTCCCTGCTGCATGACTTCTATGGCGCTGGCAATTCTTTTATCCAAGGGTTTCAATCTGCACACTGCTGATGTGCTCTAAACCCATCTTACTTCTTCCCCCTTCTCCCCAGTCCTCCACTGAGTGCACTTTTTTCTTGCCAGGGCTGTCGTGTTCTGCTGTGCGCTCAGGGAAAAATGTGTATTTGTGTTTCAGCACAGCATGCCTTTCGCTGTCTCCAGCCTGCGACCGGGAGGGTGTGCTTGGCTGATACAGCACAGCAAGTTAGATGCTTCTGGCAAAACAAACAACAAACACACACGCACACACAGAGAATAAAAGTGTCTTTTTGAACTAGGTGGCATTTAACCTTAAACATGACTATTGGTTTTACAAAGGAAATGCACTGATCTGCATAACGGTTTTACGGCACGATGGCGTTCTGTTAGGAGCGAAGTGCTGAAGGGTGTTCTCTCCTGGCAGCATTTTTCTTGTATCTTCTCTGCCCTGTACGTTGCACCAATCGCTTGTGCTTTCTCACAATGGTGAAGCAAGTATTGCCGTGTGCCCAGGTTGGGCTGGTTTTGTTGTCAGCACCGCATGTCTGTAATGCAGACTCTTCCTTTCTGCCGAGTTAGATGTGTTGTTGAAGGCACAGGGATTAAGCGGATGAGTGGGGTAAGAGGAGGCAAGAGCCAGGTGACTGTTCAGCACACAAAGCAGCATTTGCTGCGCACTGACAGCTTATGTGTTGTCAGATGCTTCATGGGTGCTGCAACCCAGGTGAATTGCCATGGCAGGCTTTCCAAGGAGGTGAGCTGGTGGCCTTAGGAGTTCCTAGAAGGATCTCCCATTTCTGTAGGGCGCATAGGATGGAAGTCAGCACAAAGATGCTTGAGGGGAATGACTGGACTAATTGGCAAGGCAGTCTGGTGTAACTAAGGCAGAAGTGGGGATGAATAGCCCAGCATTGTATTATAATTGACAGGTGGGGCAGAGCTGGGCTCTGAAGAGTCTTAAAGGTGAAGAGCAAGTAGTTAGTGTTGCTGTTTGATGTAATGAAGGAATGGGAGCCAGTGCAGGCACGGAAAGCATGGGAGAGTGGTCTTTTGCAGCTAGTATGCATGCAAAAGCTGTAAGGAGAGCTGCATGACAACAGTGGCCTAACTCCGGTTTTGATAGAGCCAGCAAAGACCCGGACTTTGAGGTGCCACTGGAAAGCTGTGGTGGCTGTGCCTGGATCAACGGTGGGCTCCATGTCACTGCCCTGAGGGATGGGAATAGCATTCAACAGCAACAGAGAAAGTTACTCAAGCACAGGTTAGAAGCACTTCGCTGGGTTTGCAGATAAGTTCCTACTGCGGGGGACGCCATCAACAGCAGGCTGGGCATCGGGTCCCTGCTCAGGCTGGGGTTCCCAGGCTTAGCCTGAAACAAAGGGAAAGATTTGAGAGGCACAGGTCAGATGCAGCTGCTTAACCAGCCTGCTGACGCCCTCCGAAGCTACCGTCCGCTCTGGAAACTCTTTACCTCTTGCGGCTGGGAAGGAGGAAGAGTCCACTAAGAGACTGGGACGAGGTGGATGTGTCCCTCTGCACATGCAAGGGCTGAAATGGGAAGGGGGGCCAGAGCCGATGATTTGTGCAGAGGCCGTTTGCTTCACGTCCTTCGCACAAGGAGCAAGCCATGAAGATGCTGGAGATGCATCTGAGGGCACACATAACTAGATTTTGAACATTTGCAGTGTCTATGGCCTGTGGAGTTCTGTTGGCTGGGCACAACTTGCTTTGTGCAAGGCTTTCTCAAGGCAGAGGGACACCTTCCTGAAGCAAAGCCTGCTCTATCCCCATGCAAGAAGTGAGCACATCGTCGTGGCCGCAGTGTGTTGTAGTGTGAATCTGTGCATGAGGGGCCCTGAAAAATACACTTATGCTGGCTGCATTACTGCTGGAGTGAAAAGTACTGTCTGGGAGTTCTGACTTGATTAGATTAGCTTTTTTTTTTTTTGCTTTCTCAATGTACAAACAAGTGTGAATATTCGTTCCTTTCTGGTCAGAGTGGTTTCTCAGTGTGTGCCCAGATTGCTGGGTCTGCAGCTCTGAGCTGTTCTCAGCCTTGCATCCCAGAGGGCCTCTGATCTTCACAGGTCTCCGCTCCTCTGCACGTGTACTTCACGGGAAAGCGATGGGGGTGTTCCCCTTTTTTTCTTTCCCTTCTTTTCTTTTTTCCTCCTCCATTCTTTATTTTTCTGGTTTTCCTTCATGCATTCTCTGGGAAGTGGTCAGACTTTGTTCTGTGAAACGGTGTGCTGCTGCCGGCATGCTGCTGCCAGCACAGCTCCGGTGCCCACACTCTGCAATCTCCTTTGCCGGTCAGACTTCTTGCACCTCTTTGTTGGGAGTACCTGAGGCTGAGTGGGATTTCTGCTGCTGAAATCCCAGAGCGGAGTGGTGAAATCTGCTGGAGCCGACTGGTAACATGCACAGCCAGTTAGAAAGTAGGAGTGGCCAAGATGTACAGAAATACTAAATTGTCCTGGGTTGGAATGAAGTTGGTAACAATTGGGGCTTATTTATAATTTCAGTATTTTTTATATATATATGCAAAGCAGCCTTTTAAAGTGGGATTTGTACTTGAGCATCATGTTCTTTGGAAATGAGTACAAAGATGAGCAATTGTACAATTCCAGTGAATGAATTAATTTACCTCTTCTTTCTTTTTTAAAAACCAATCTCTACAGAATGGAAATGAGATACAGCAAGGAGAAAGGAGAGAAAAGAAAGTGTGGATAAAAGATTTCAAAATAGATGGGTGTTTGGCTGTTTAAGTCATAAAAATCCCAAGACTTGTGTCTCCCAGAGGCAGTTCTATTTCAAGAGAGTGGTTGAAAATACTGATGTATCAAATAATATTAAGAGAACTGTAACTATCCAAAATGTACATTTAAGGGGAAGGAAAATAAAAATAACCTTGCTTCCTAATTAAAGTAATTGAGAACTTGGGGATTAAAAAAAAAAAAGGTGGAAAAGACCCCGTAAGTCCTTTAAGTTTTGCTTAAAGTTACCATGATGCAGTATAGCTCTTAAGAGAATCTCAGTGT